CTGTAAACAGGCAGATCACTACGAGTCCAATCTAGTGGTGAGACCTTGAACACCCTGTAGACCCTTTCCTAAAATACAAAAAAAAAAAAAAAAAGCCTCTGTTTTGTGATGAGTAATCTATGGGGATAAGATCTGAACCCAAGATCACATGACTGCTGAGCACTTGCCAGAAAGAGCTTCTGGATCCATGCTAAAGCGTCCTGATGATGCCTGATGCAGTTCTTTGGAACAGGACCCCAGGGTCAGGGCAGTCTGCCCCTCTACTCTCCCAGCTCCTCCTGTGGCCACCACATTCTCCCCAACCAAACGGGCAGCTGCAGCTAAGGAGTGCATCCCGAATCTCAGGTATAGACCTACAGAATTGTGCTTCTCATTAGTAGTGTTAATAAACACTGGCTGTGGTGGTACACACCTATAATCATAGCACGTAGGCTGAGGCAGAAGGATTGCTGCAAGTTCGAGACCAGCCTGGGCTATAAAGTGAGTTCAAGGCCAACCTGAACTGCACAGCGTAACCCTGTGTCAAAAAGACAAAAAATAAAAAAGTAAAAAAAAAAAAATTAAATGCCCCCTCAGCACTTCTATGACAACTCAACAAACCTCTGCCACCCTAAACACCTCACAGGCACTCAGTCTATAACCAGTCACTCCCTGGAGACAATTTGGAAACAGAAAGGGAACTTGAGTCTGTCACTTACATGCTGTGTGACTGACTTCGGCCAGCTGACCTCTGCTCCTGGAGCCTCAGTTAAACTAACCTCAGTTTCCCTGTTTGCCCAAAGAGGAGGTTGAGATTCCCCTGGAATCTGTTCCCTCTTTCATAAACACTGGCTGAGGGCCTACTGTGCATCAGAGACAGCGCTCTGGGGACCTGCTGACAACAAAACACCCGTCCAACTCCCAGAGAGAGGCCTCTGACTCTGTGTGGTTGGGATTTTGACACTGGCCAGTTGCCAGTGCTCAGTTCTTCCTGGTCTGTGATGGCCTCAATCCTGTCCCCAAGCCCTTCAATCAAAACAGCGCCATAAGGGCCGGCCAAATAGCTCAGTGGGCAGGGGCAATCCCCCCGGCCTGCTGGGCCAACCCCGCCCCGGGCACTGAGATGGCGATTGAGACAGGGCGTGGTGGTGCATGCCTGTAATCCCAGCTCTTGGGAGGCTGTAAACATGTGGATCACTATGAGTCCCATCTAGTAGTGAGACCCTGAACACTCTGTAGGAACACCCTGTAGATGCTCCCCTAGAAATACAAAAGCAAAACAAAACAAAACAAACAAACAAAAAAACCCAGCACCCTACTTTCAAAATCCATATGCAATAGGGGGCCAGGGAGATGGCTCAGTGGAATAAGCACTTTCCTGGCAAGTGCAAAGATCTGAGTTCAATCCCTGGTTCCGCAAAAAAAAAAAAAAAAAAAAAAAAAAAATCCATATGCAAGAAAAATAGTGTCCCAGCACTAGGGCGGGCGGCTGAGGCACAAAGATCACTGCAAGTTCAAGATCAGCCTGGGCTACAAAATGCATCCAAGGCCAGCTACGCTGCGTAGTAAGACCCTGTCTCAAAACACACACACACACACACACACACACACACACTGAATTTAAAAAAAAAATATTACTGTAAAAGACATACCAGGCACACACTGTCATCTGTCTTGCCACTCTTTTTTTTTTAATTAATTTATTTGTGTGTGTGTGTGTGTGTGTGTGTATGTGTGTGGCCAGCTCAGCCCACCAGGGGGCGGGGCTGGCTGGCATGTGGTGCTGGGGGATCGAACCGCGGTCCCTGTGCTTTGCTAAACTTGTTCTTAGTAGGTGCTTTAGACCACTGAGCCATCTCACCAGCTCCTGTCTTGCCACTCTTGCAAGCAGCTCTGAACGCCCGCTCTCAGGTCTTTTAAGAGGTGTGATCAAAAATACAGTGAATGTTGCTGCTTACTGTCATCCAACCGAAAGGCAGGTTCGTAGGAAACATAACGCCGTATCCTTACCTGCTTCATTCGAGGGATCTGGCACCGGGACTTCCGGCTGTTCCCTAAAATCAGAATGACCATGCAAGGTAAAGGTTATGAGAGGCTCCATGACGTGGAGGCAGCCAGGACAGAGACACTAAAGATAGGCGAGAACACTTCTAGAGCTGCTCGGTAAAGCGACAAGTTCAAGGGATAAGCGAGTCCAAAGGAAGGGGAATATTTAGAGGGGAGATTTGTTACAATGCATCATTTACGGTAATTTTTTTCTTTTTCCTTGCGGAACTGGGAATTGAACTCAGGCCCTTGCACTTGCCAGAGAAGCGCTTATTCCACTGAGCCATCTCCCGGGCCCTTTTCTTTTTCTTTCTTTCTTTTTTTTTTTTAGCTCTAAGTACACACATTTTTCAGTCACCCCCTTGGGGTTGTGACGGGTGCATCCGGCACCCAGGGGTACCAGAATCCGATTTCCCAAGGGAAGCCGAGCTGGAGCTGTGCGGGGACACCACCGGGAGGCGCCGTGGCTCCAGCTCGGGCATCGGCCGGGGTCACCTGCACCGTGCGGCGGGCGGGGCCGGGCGCGACTGCGAGCAGCTTGGGAGGCGGCTGCATCTAGCCCAGAGTGCGTGCGGCAGGGCGGCAGGAGGCCGAGCGGGGCGCCGAGCAGGTAGGAGGCTCTCGGTGCGGAAGAGCCCAAGAGCTGGGTGGGCGTGCGGGGTCCGTAGTGTCGCCCCGACTCCGCGGGAGGAAGCGCCCGGCGTCTGCGCGCGGTGGGCGGGAGGCCGACCGTCCCCATCTTCCGGTCCTCGGACCTTGAGGAACACCTTAAGATACAGGGGTGCAACCTGAGCCCCGCCCACCACAGTCGGCCTGCTTTGGGAGGGAGCGCGAAGTCTGCAGCCCACAGACCTAAACTCCCCAAAGAAAAATGAAGGGATAGGGGCCGGGGAGATGGCTCAGTAGAATAAGCGCTTCCCTGGCGAGCGCAAGGGTTCCGCCAAAAAAAAAAAAAAAGAAAGAAAAGAAAAACCAAGAGGTATCTGGGCTTTTGAGCCACCCTGGACCGGCGCTTGACTGATGAAATGGGTATCTTGAAGGGTATCCCCTGTGGGAGGCCGTCCTGAGATTCAATGAGAAGAAAAGCCCCTTCACGGGGGTGGGGCAGCCCAATGCTCCAGCTCAGATCTGCACCTTCAAGTCGAGGGAACAGCTGTGGAGGTGCACACTGAATGCAATGAGAATTCCAGCCCTGGGAGGGAGGAGGAGACGGCTGTGTGAACAGCAAGCTGAATTAGCGGGACCCAGAGTCTGGGAGGAGGAATCCCGGACTCCTTGGAGGAGGTGGGATTTGTGCCCAGCTGGGAGAGGGTTGCAGTGTCAGTGCAGTAGCGTCAGTCTGTGAGCGCCCTGAAGTCTGGCCATCTGGGCCTTAGGCAAAGCCCCCTCGTTTTTCTGCGTTCTTTTATGTCTCCTGCTCCTGAAGTGATGCGATTTCTCAACAGACTGTCAGGTAGGGCTGTGTGTAGAAGGCACTCCCCAAATGCAAGCTATAGATTTCTGCTAGACAGTGGCTCCTGGTGCAGGAACTATGGCATTGGTTCACAGTGGTGTTCCCTGCAGCCCCAGGCACCTGGTTCCTGGAAAGACTAGCTCCGGGAGGTGGCAGTGCGTGGACCTGGGCCATGGCTAAGGCCTGAGGCCAGCTGGGCTTGATAGACTCTGATAGAACAGGCCTGGTCCCTGTGCGCATCTTGGTTTCGGTACCAGCAGCTGATTCCACTTGATGGTCACCACATGGCCTGGTCCCTCCTGCCTTGGCCCTGGAGGAGGCTGTGTTGTTCTTGAGCCCAAGTTAGGCACCTTTAGTTTTCTGATGATTTTTGAGCAGCCATGCTGGGGTTCCTGCCCCCTGGGGTGACTGGGAATCTGTGAGAAGCAAAGGTCTGAGGCAGGGGAGGGAGGATTATCTGCCAAAGACAGACCCTGGACCCGCCAGTGAGCCAAGTCCAGGGCCTTACAGCGCTTTCCCTAACTGCTCCGGTGCGTTTGACTGACATCTGTGCCTTCCTGGGGAGTCTCTGGGCACAGTGAGCAAGGATGCCTCGCCCCTCTGCACCCCACCAAGCAGAGCAGCTGGCACACAGTAGGAGCTCAGAGAAAGTTTGAGGATTGCAGGCGGCTCCACTGAGCACTGAGGCTGTTGGTCATAGACTCTAAAATCTTGGCTTTGAGAAAAAAGGGCCCCCCCCCAAGGACTTTGAGCTTCTTTTTTTATTGTCTCATTCTCAGCCAGCTCCCACCCGAGGGATGTGTCCCTTCTGACCCCTCACCAAAGTGTGACAAGGTGCAAGGGAGAGAGGCCTGGCCTCTCTGTTGCTACTTGGGGTTCCCGCCCGCAGAAGAGAGCAACATGCTTGAAGACCTCCCTCTACACCAGAGCCTAGAGTCAGGGAGTGTTAGAGCTAGTGGAGCCCCAAAATATAATAGAGGGCACTCCTCATCCCAAAGGTGAGGAAACTAGAATTCAAAGAGGCTGAGACATGCTCAGGGTCTGGTGGAGTTAGGAGACACCCTTGTATTCTAATTCCACATTCTTTTGTCACTAGGTGGGCTGGGAACATCCACGCAATAATGCTTCTTTATTTTCTAGCCACCCAATACAGTGGAATGAAAGAATAGAGGGAGAGATAGAAGGTAAAATGGATCTCAGATTAGCTAGTAAACTATTTAAAAAAAAAAAAAACAAAACAAAACTTCACCTCTTTTGAAAAGACAAAGAACCAGGATTATGTATGTTTCCTATTGAAAGGTTTATTTTTAATATTGAAGAGAAGGAGCCTCTCTGGCTGGTGCTGTGCCGTGCGCCATCGCCAGCCAGCTGTGCCTGCATCAGGATGTGCCCTGTGTGCGCCACCTCTGTGGCCAGCCCTGGAGCAAGGCATGCTGCCCCTGCGCAGCCTCCACGCCTGACATACTTGGCCTGATAGGATGCAGCCTTCCTCGTTTGCTGTGAAGTGAACCCCTGGTTCCAAGTATAGATTCCAGGTGGGCAGGGGGAGAGGGGAGGAGAAGGGAGCTGAGCAGAGTGGGGCTCCTGGGATTCCTGAGCCAGGCCACGTGTAGGCGAAGCTGAGGAGCAGGAGCAGGGCCCCGCAGCAGCTGGAGCCTCTCTGGTTCACACTCCCATGGGTGGTGGCCGCAGTTCAGCCTGAGCACTGAAAAGAAGGTGTGCCCGTGGCTGATAGAAAGGCCTGTTCTACAGCCAGCCCTGGCCCTCTGAGGGCCTCCTGCCCCGGCCAGGCATACCTGAGCGCCTGGGGCCCTCGGTGGGGCTGACACCCTGGTCTCTCTGACGTATGTGGGAGGTGGAGTCCGAAGCACAGGCAGCTTGGGACCCGTGTGTGCCCTGCAGGGCCAGCAGACCTTGCCCTGGGCAGCAGTGCAGCAGAGAGGAAGGGGACACACAGGGAGGACATTGCCTTGTGCCCTGCTCTCCCTGCGCTCTGGTTTAAGACAGACCAACATCTGTGAGCCTCAGTTTCCTGACTCATCACCCAGAGGTGGTAACATCCAGGCCTCCCTGCTATCTAATTCTTAGCTCTCCTCTGGAGACTCTCAAGTCCAGGGCCTGCGGAGCAGCTATCAGGGCAAATGGCTTCAAAGTTTTAAAATTCCTGTCACAATTAACCCTTTACTTTTCAGTTTCCCAGTCAGACCCGCACCAGGTCTGGAGGGAGCAGTTTCCACTGCCCGCAGGTCCTGCTTGGCAAACCCCTGGAGACTGGCAGCCCCCCTCTGGAGTGTCCGTCTGCCCCTCCACCTGGTGGTGTCTCCTTTGTCTGTTGTGTAGTCAAAGCATCTGTGTGGTGTGTCCCCCACCGCTGTGCCCCACCCCACCAGCACGCCCCCCCTGGAGGTCCCTAGGTACTTACCCTGCAGTTGACAGAGGCAAACAGTGATGGCACTTGTTACTGAGGGCTCCCTTTGTGCCCACACAGGGCTAAATGCTCTGCATGCCTCCATCTGCTGGCCACCCACGGTGTCCCTAGGAGGGACTTCTACCCCCTGGTCCTCTGCAGAGCTTGGAGAGATGCAGGAACTCGCTGATTGTCCCAGGCAGCCAGGGAGGCATTCAGATTCCCCTACTGAGGCAGGTTGTCTTGGTGGGACCCTTCCTCTTCCCCCGTAAAAAATAATTACAAGCATGTGTATGGTTATGCTCATCTGTTAAAACATTTTCTTCAACCTGAAAGTCCCCTTTTCCTAAGGATTTTAGAAGAAATTAAGATTTCTTTCTGTGTGGACTCTGAGCAGCACATCACCTACACCCAGCTGAGATGTGTGTCCTGGAGCCAGCAAGAGAGAGAGACAGCCCATACACCGCTGGGGGAGCCCTGAGCTCTTCGCTGGACTGTGAGCCAGTGGGGAGAAACAGCAGCCAGCATGAGTTCAAGGGCAGCCTGGCCTCGTGGCAAGACCCTGTGTCATAAAAGGCACAAAAAAGCCATGTGGTGGGGGTGGAAGAAGGGAGGAAGGAGCAAAGAACTAGGACAAGAGGGGCCAGGGAGATGGATCAGTAGAATAAGCGCTTCCCTGGCAAGCTCAAGGGCCTGAGTTCAATCCCCAGTTCCGCAAAAAAAAAAAAAAAAAAAAGAACTAGGACAAGAGGTCACACACCTGAAATCGTTAACAGCTTATGGCATTGATAGTTTGTCCTAGAAGAGGGAACTCAGTTGGTCTCTTCCTCCACTTCCTTCTCTTCTTCCTCCTCCTCCTCCTCCTCTTCCTCTTCCTCCTTCTCTTCCTCCTCCTTTTCCTCTGCCTCTTCCTCCTCCTCCTCCTCCTCCTCTTCCACCTCCTCTTCTCCCTCCATGTCTTGATGTTTTTCTTTTGCCAGGCAAGCGCAGTTTTAGCCCACTGAGCTATCTCTCTGGCCCCCCTTGATGTTTTTCTGAGAGCCAAGCCATTGACCCTCTTTCTCTGAAATTCTGGATGTCCCACCCCAAGCTTCTCTCCAGTTATAGCCCTTGAGGGTGACCCGTTTGCTCAGAGGATCATGGATCTTCTAGAAGCAGCTCCAAGTTCCCACCTCATCTCTAGCTATGATGCCATTGGTCATAATACTAACAACAACAATCATTACCAGTTTTCAGAGCTTTCTGTGTGCGGGACTATGTGTTAATGACTCGGCAGCAATTGCTCCTGAAAGCCTCCAGATCCCAGGGATATGTGCTGTGGCCTCCTCCAGTTTGCAGGTGTTTCTCTACAGTTGGCAGGTGTACTCCACAGGTGCAGAAACTGGGGCTTAGGAAGACTGAGCTACCCAGGCAGTGGGGCCAGGGTTTAGGTCTGAGTCTATCATCAGAGTGTGTCTTCCTGAGGCCAAGGACTGTGCCCAGTTTCCTAGTCCAGCTCACCAGCTCAGTACTTTGGGACATGGCTGTCTCTCAGGGGATTCAATCCAGGAACCCCCACAGGTAACAATGTCTGTAGATGCTCCAGGCCCTTATATAAAATGGTGTAGTACTTGCACAGCACTTCTGCATACCTCCTGCTGCTTTAAATCATCTCTAACTTGTTTATAATCCCTAAAACAGTGTGAATGCTGTGGAAATACTTGTTAGATTGTCTCACTTAGGGAATAATAATAAGAATGTGTGGAAGCAG